CTTTAGTAGCAAGATTAACGATCAATAGTTTGTAATTTTAGTTTCTTAAGAACTTCATGTTTACATATAGTTTCCAAAATCAAAGTTCTTAAGCATTTGGTTCCCGTTTTTAACAATCTTTTATATTCATGCAACATTTCCCTCTTCCCTTAATTCCCTTTTTATGGCTCTGATCTATATATTTCCATCATTACATTCATGTTATTTACATTCCAATAATGTAATTTTTGCAATTTATATTTAGTCATTTACTATTTCAAGCAATTTACATTCAGTCATTATGATTAGTACAAACTACATGATGTTATTTAAAAGGAAAACAACATTAAAAGAGTGAATTACATGTTTTGACCTTCTGATTATTTGTTCTAAAAGATCTCGTCCATTTTTTGAAAAATAATATATCATGTCTTTGTAGTTGCATATTACAACGACTCAGACCCTTATCACTAACTCTTTTTTTTATGTGAAAAGTCAGTTAAAGTAATAGTATTATAGTCTTCATATTGTTTCTACCGAAATTTTCATTTACAAGTTAAAGATTATATTATCTAAGCCCTGAGGACACCTTCTGYTCGGAGGGCACAATCCAGCATTTCTTACAAAGTCTTACAACGGATGTGAGCTTAACAACCCTCGTGCCATGCCCAAGCCCTTACCTTMGCCCTATACCGAAAGATATTAGTTCATTGATCAACTACCACTTGATCCCCTAGTTAAAGGAATTTATCTAAGGTGCCAAAGAGTCCCCTCCTAATAAGTAGGGCTTTGCTGGTCTTACAAGCATTATCATTTCCATTTAAAAAATTAAGGTAATAGTATTTTAGTTTTGAATTTACATTCTTAACCCCTAAAGAAAACACCACTTTCCAACTTCATCCCTCTATTTCTTTTATTTATCAAATTATAAACTTAGGTTATTACAAGTCTTCCCTTTTAAAATAATTTCGTCCTTGGAATTCCTTTAGGCAAAAAGATGGGGGTACTTTGCCTTCATTTCCAACTTGGCTCCCACGTCGCATTTCGTTTTTTGTGAAACTTCCAATGCATTTTCACTAACACTATCTTGTTGTTCCTTAACCTTTGTGTGCAGAAGGTCAAGACAAAAACTATCTTGTTCAACAAGATTAATTTGATCGTTGACACTGGAATGACACTGAAGGTCTCATCAGTGTTCGCTAAATCTTGAGTAGATGTCACACTTGTGTAGATGAGCTTGGTATCACTATAAACCGCTTCAGATCACGAACTTGTTCGTCTCTATCTTCAGCTTCTATCTTCATTATCGTTGAACGATTTATGGTGTGAGTTTTGTCTTCCTGAAGGATACTTGTCTCTGAAGGAATTACAATATATGTTCAGCAATCACTGAACATATCGATGATGATCATTGAAGCTGAATACAGAGATAGTACACTTCGTAAAGTAAAATGAATCACCATCAAATCACTAAGAGAGCAGATCAACATGAGGCTAAGTCGGGCCATTTTTTGTATATAAACCGCATAACAAATATGTTATTACAAAAGATAGTTAGCAAAAACAATCTCATAACCATAATCTCATAGACATAAATCATATATTTCATAAATCATAATCTCATAAATTAGTATTTTGAAAACGAGACACCATATATTGAAGCAAAAAAGCAAACAATAAACAACAAACAAAAATTGATCTTGAAGCAAACAAGCAAACAGAAACAAAAATTGGACTTGAAGCAAACAAGCAAACGGAAACAAAAATTGGTCTTGTAGCAAACAAAATAGAAATTGGCTTCTGTTTGACCATTCATCGAAGCAAGCAAACAACAAACAAAAACAAATATTGGTTTTTGTTTGACCATTCATCGAAGCAAACAAACAGCAAAAATAAATATTAATAAATCGAAGCATAATTATTGGTTGAGCAAGGTGAAATATTGGTCAACCAAACAATAAACAGAAATTTCAACCCAAACAAAAACATCGAGCAAGGAGAAATCTAGGAAACAGAATCGAGCAAGGAAAAATCTTAAGAAACAAAATCAAGCAAGGAAAGAGAGAGAGAGAGATTGAACAGAGAGATATCGAAAGATTAGAGAGAAATCAAACCTGTTGCGAGTTGTTGTTCGATGGAGAAGCAAGAGATTGAGAAGTTGGAGAAAATGGTGTCAGCTTCTGGTGGTTTATCAGATTAGGAATATTGTGTTTTATGAGATTAAGGCATTTGGGTTGAGGATATATTGGGTATTATGAAAATAAGAAATTTTATTCCATCAAAGTACCATCTATTTACCAAGGAATGTTAAAATCCTCTAGTCGTGGAATTCATAGGAATCTGAAGATTCTTTCCATTGAAAAGAATGAACCAAACGAAGGAAATGAATCTGGTCAAAGGAGATCAACATTCCAATTTCTTCAGATTCCTCCAGAATCTGCAAACCAAACCCCATCTTAGGTCGCATTAGCGTCTCATTCTTCACTATTTTTTGATTTTTGATTTTTATTTTGAGCCGCTTTGGGGTCTTTTAATGTTTTGTTTAGGTTCCTTAGAGTTTCTTTAAGAGTTACAGTGAAGTTTAATTGCTTATATTGTAATCCGTGTTTATATGATTCAGATTCACGTGATCCAGGTGAGTTTTCTTACAGACCTTTGAATGAAATGCATATGTTATGAAATGATTTCGGATATGAAGAAGTGTGCTGCTATTCGATACAAGAATCTAAGAATGTGGTAAAATGAATTGTTATTGTGGAAATTATAAATGTGGTGTTTGGGGTCGGTTTAGCTTGCATGTAGTTACGATGTGGTGTATATATTGGTGAGGTGCATGTGACAAGGTGGTGTATGTATAGGTGAGGTGTATGTGATTGTGTGGCGTATGTAAAGTAGTGGTATATATTACGAAGGTGTTGAGCCAATGATGATTAACGGGGATGTTAACCGGTTTTATCGAACTTACATGTAGTAGACTTTCATATTTTGAAAACTATTATGGTTAATTTTTTTGAAAGTTAGGTACTTACTCTTTTATATGAGATGGCATTAACAAAGATCTCTTCACTAGACCTACTGGTCTAACCCTTATTTTGTTTTTAAAAATGTGAAATTCAAGACATTTACATCTAGAAGGTAAGGGGAAGGGAAAGATGTGATCTATAGTGACTGAACTGTATATGTGTTGCTTATATGCGAGATCAGAGTGTTTGACTGAAGTTTGTGCATTCCATGAACTTGTAAAACTGATCAATGCAAGTTGTGTAAGCATAAATTTATCGTAGACTTTTGGTAGTTTATTGTTGTATTCGTTTTGTGACCAATATCTAAAATCTCAAGTGGTTACATGTGCAATATGTATTGTATGTGATAGGTTGATACATTTGCTAAATCCATCTGAGAACACCAAATCCATCTCAATCCATGGTACTAGGAGAGAGGGGATGTTTTTTTCTACCATTGATGGATACAGGATTGTAGGTTACAGAAGACGTTGTTGGTAGATGCTTTTTTTTCCACTGTTGCGTTTCCCATTTCTTTCATGTTTTTGTTGTAGAATATGCAATTAATTATATGGATATTTTTTTTCTCTATTTCCATATGGGTTTAATATTTTCTAATTTTATTTAAAAATGCATAAAATATTAAGTTTTTTATTTTATTTTTTAAACTAAGAAAATAAGGTAAAAAGTCTAAAATGCCTTTCAAGTGCGGGGCACGTGATGGGATTAGTGGATCACAGACTAACAGAGTTGATGGGAGGGACGAGTTTGGACTCCGGAACACGATTTTTGTACCAAGAGTGTACTTTACGATTTAGAGGAACAAAAACCAAAAAACATCTATTCACGAGGGAACAAATATGTAATTCACTCTTGAAAAAAATTAGATTTACACATATGCGTAGGGGTGTTCACGGTCCGGTTTGGGCGGTTTAACCTCTCAGACCACAAACCAAACTGTAATGGCGGTTTATAAAATCTTCAAATCGAACAATTTGACATCAAGTGCCTAGACCGGTCAAACCATACAACGAAAAGGCTGTCTGGTCTGACCGGTTTATGTGGTTTGGGCCTTTAATGGACTTTAAATATTAAACTTAAAAAGACATATATAATTTAGAATTTTAGATTACGTATCCATTTTAATAAAAACAATATAGGAAATTTCTTAAAGTAAAAAAAAGAGCTCATAAAACATGACTTACAAATCTAAATTTGGAGACTAGGACAGATTTGGAGACCTGATAATGCGCGCCGATGACCGAACACTTGAACAGATTGAGTTCGAAATCGAAAAAGTTGAAGGAAATAGTTGAATAACTTGGTTGATGTCTTGATAATGTGCACCGAAATCAAACCATGGACTAGAAAAGATTGATAGATTGATAGAGTTCTTGAGGGATTTAAAAATTTGGAGATCGTAAATGTCAAATTTGTCGATATGTTTACTGGTTTATGGATTTTTAGGCGTCGATTCATTTGAATTTGCTTATGCTAGATGCTAGGCGCTAGAATTTATGTTGGGTTTAGGGATATATTTGAGCCATAGCCCATAAGTTAAAAAAGTTGGGCTTGTTAATTCTAATATATATATACTAGAAGAGTACTCACGCAATGCAGTGAGACACGTCAGATTTTAATGTTCTATTTTATTATTTGTCTCTGTCGATGTTATAATACGATTTTATGTGTTTTTAAGAAAGTAATAATGATTTTATTTTTGAATAAAATATAAATTTAAAAATATCATAAAATTTGAAAAAAATAATATCAATGTTATTATCAAATCAACTATTTAAAAATTCTTATTTTTTATGTAATTTCTTTAATTTATTTTTGTTATCTATACTATCTTATAATGCATTTGGCTAAAACTCTTAAACTCTTAATCTCTTAAACTCTTAAAAACAACCTCTATTACTAATGGTACAACCTATTAAAGCAATCCCTAAACCCGTTCAAATAAAAAACCCTATCCTATTTCATGGCCAAACGATCTCATCTCCAACAGAAACCCAATTCCCTCCCTAAATTCCCGAAATCGAATTTCATCGCCAACAGGAACGATTTCATCGCCCTAACCCAATTCAATTTCATAAACCCTAAATGATTTCAGGCAAAATCGCTCCCCACCGCTTTCGCCYTCACCCTTCAATCCATCGCTCCATCGTCATTTCTTCAACCTTCAATCCTGCCTCCAATGTCGTCTTCTTCAACCTTCAATTCTGCCTCCATCGTCGTCTTCTTCAACCTTCCAGGTAATTYTGTTTAGGGTTCTGTCCATCTCGTCTTCTTTCTTCTTGTAAGCTTTTGCAGACTTTTGGGGTTTGATTATTTTTGGGGGTTAGTGTATCTTTGGTGATTATTTTTGGGGGTTAGGGCATCTTTGGTGATTATTTTTGGGGGTTAGGGCATCTTTCATATTGACTTCTTTGGTCCATTGTATTTGAAGGCATGCTCTATTAGAGGGTTCTTAGGGTGCCGATTCCTTTTATGTATATCTTGCATTGTTATGACAAAATAGAAACCAATCCGCATTGCTATGTTTGCGACCTTAACATAACTTTTGCTTACATGGGGGAGCAAAACTCCACCTATAGGTTTAATTGCTTACTTGATTTTGATCTTTATGTGACTGAATATGCATACATGATTCTGTTTTGGTTGCTCTATTTGATTAAGATTTATTGCTGTTTCTAGAGTTATTTTGGTTGCTGTTCGTCTCTACCGGTTTACTGTAGGTGCTTAAACAACCTCATTCCAAATTATAGAGGCATTTTATGTCTTGCAATTATAAAAGTCTGACAATCACGTCCTTCAKTRCATGTAATGGGTAGCCAGAATGCTTGGAGAAAGTAACAGACAKAACAGATGAATGTTAGGGGCCGTTTACCAAACGCTTACCCGGGTAAGCGATTACCAAATCACACTACCTCACAGTAAGAGCTTACCGGGTAAATTRTTGGATACAATGTCGTTTTGGTGGACCAAAATATTACCCGGTTAGTAAATAATAGTGTAAAATTTTACTGGTAAGCATTTACCGGATAAGTGTTTGGTAAACGGCCCCTTAGTGTAATAGACCCACMTCACAGGGGCACTGAGTTTTCAACTCAAATAAATGTCATGAATCATATTTAGTGGATAAGTGTTTGTTACAAAGTGCTTATTTCTGTGCATATACATTTATCATAGTGGATACTTTGTAATTCTTTTGCTCAATGCTAACTGCTTCTGATGTTTTATCATTTGCAGAGAGAGCAACCTTGGAATTGAAATACCAGAAACTGTACGAGCCACTGTATTCAAAGGTATACGAGTTTTCTCATGTCTGGTCATTGTCGGATTGACATATGGCCATTGTCCTATTATTGTGTTTACATTTCATGTTGCATTTGTAGGCTGTTCTTTTTTAGAACTAATGGGATGGGGAGGGATATAGGTCAGCAAAATACATTTTAGGCTTGATTAGGATAAAATATCCCAGTCATTGTTGATTAGTATACATATTCAAGCTTGATTAGGATCAGTACACAAGTTGCTAATTAGGATTAGTACACATATTCAGGCTTGATTACCATCTCTTGCAAATTGTTGAAAGAAAAGAGAGAGAACAAAATATTGATACATTAAACTAGATTATGATTACCTCTCCACCATGACTGCCATTAATTCTATGTTTTGGTTGACTGGTCATCCACCTCTCCTCAAGCTTCTTAATAGATTCCATGTACTCCATCTGACAGTTCATTTTCTCCCTCAACAATAACATACAACATTTTAGGGTAGCCAGAATGCTTGGGGAAAGTAACAGACATAACAGATGAGTGTTAGGGGCCGTTTATCAAATGCTTACCCGGGTAAGCGATTACCAAATCACACTACCTCACTGGATGAATATGCTAAGAACCAAAAATCTTACCCGGTAAGAGCGAGACAAGAACCAAAAGTCTAACCCGCTAAGTGAGGACAACGACTCTTACCACAGTAAGAGCTTACCGGGTAAATTGTTGGATACGATGTCGTTTTGGTGGACCAAAATATTACCCGGTAAGTAAATAATAGTGTAAGATTTTACCGATAAGCACTTACCGGATAAGTGTTTGGTAAACGGCCCCTTAGTGTAATAGACCCACATCACAGGGGCATTGAGTTTTCAACTCAAATAAATGTCATGAATCATATTTAGAATAACAATCGAAAGATGACATGAGGTACTAAAAAGTTACAAATTTTCATACAAAAAAGAACATAATGAGTTCAGAATCTAAAAGACAGAAGGCTGAAACCCGACAGGGCCTTAGTTAATAGGTCTCAAGGAACAAGTTTTTAACATAAAGGTTTTAGAACAGTCTTAAAGGTTCTCTTAAAAAATCATGGCAGCAGCTGTTTCTTCATGCTTTTGTTGTTAAGGGATAAAAACACCCCCCCTTAGCATGTAAACAAGTTGCAAAATCCAACATGTTTTTGTTGGTTAGTACACATTGATCTATGAGCAAAAAAAAAAAGAATCAATCATAAACATCATGTCCAATACATCGTTAATGATCAAAATTTCAAGTTGTTTACAGTTAACAACTCCCAACTTAATCAAGAGTCATAAGTTGAGATCATCTTAGAACTACAACAATCTTTCAATGAAGGTATGAATTAGTTCCAAGAATATGAACATGCTAATAAACCTTAAGTTATAAACAAGTATACTAAACATTTACCTTGGTTAGCGCTTACCGGATCAATTACCTTACCGCGTGAACATAACAAGAACCAAGAATCTTACCTGGTAAGTGAGGGTAATGACTCTTACCCGGTAAGCTCTTACGAGTTACAAACGGTTACCAATTACCCAATTTGATGACCGGGAATGTTACCCCATAAGGTAAGTGAGTGGTGACTCTTGCCAATAAGCACGCACTAGGTAAACATTTATTAAACGACCCCTAAGTACATAAAAAGGTTAACTAATTATGTACCTGCACAATACGGCGGAATGAAAATGTTCTATCAATAATAATTACAACTTTACATATCAAATTTTTGCAAGATATGTTTGAAATACTCGGTGGTATTAAAAGTTCTTTATAATGCAACAGGATGTAAAAAAGAATTCTTGTACTTGTTAGTAGCTTATGACTACKGTTTAACAAAATGAGTTTAACTTAGCAATACTACTGTTTAAATACTTATATTTACAACAAACTAATTGGGCATAAAATGTTGTCAAAATACAACAGAATTACAACAAAAATGTTATCAAAATACAACAGAAAATGCTGTCAAAATACAACACAATTACATTAGTAAATGTTGTCAAATACAACAGCAAATAGCAACAAATAATCACATATCTATTTGATCTTGCAGGTAGTTTGTAAGATGAGTGGAAGTCAAGATGAGTGGCTGTCAGAATTCGCATAAAATGTCAATACAAATTGCTATTAATCAGTTTGATTTCAGAGTTCAAGAATATTCTGTTTT